ATCCCATTCTACATAACCTAAGTACTTGACACAATGTCACTTCCAGGCAAATTCATGGGTAGTACGTTAAAGTAGGTCACGACCGCTTCCTTATATATCCCTTGCAATTCATTATTCATCCATCTGCCATGGCAAGTTGCTTTCTCAGATTCGTTCAACGCATGTAAACAAACGTAATGTGTTCCCAACGTAAGAGAATGCTACATGCCAGCAATTCCAGTAGGCGGACGAGACCTACCGCAGTTGTGAAGGCTGTCTGGATTCCAAACAAAGCACATCAACACCTAAGTCATTATAGAAATTCACCTCCAATTAACTGTACTCCCAACACCGACTCACAGGACCGGTTACAGTCACAGGAAATCTGGGCATAAATTAAAGACACTTGAGAAAAGAGAGTTGATGACCAGTTCAGACCATAGTAGTCTAAACTGAGTCGTAAAGACTTTGGCAATTTGCTGAACTGACTCAGGGAGACAAAGCGGTGCCTTCTGCAACGCATACGAACAGACAAGGTGGGACGATGCCCGACCTCAGGCAGGATGTGGCACTTGTAAAATTCCGTAACTGAAATCAAAGTTAACCAGAACTCAAATCGCACATGTTAACGTCTGCATCTGCTGGCTACTTGGTTACTGCATTATCTGTATCAACTGCTAAGGTTGAGGAGCTCTGAATCGCACACTGTACGGATTTGGGTAACAAAGCGGTGGGTAAGAAAGCAGCCGTGACCAATTTTAAAGTAACCTGCAGTACAACTGGAAAAACTGGGAATGCCACTAAATACTTATAAGATTCGAACAAGGTTCCACTCAAACGCAAACTGTACTCGTTACCACTTCGCTAACTAGCTCTGTAATAAAAACGAGGGTTCATTATTTATAGTAGATTAACGCAAAGGGCGAATCCGATGCAATGATCTTCATAGATTTCTTGATCAAGCCATGTCTAAAATTAAGGATGCCATATTAGCATGCAATGCGCCTTTAGACTTTTGAAGACATCAACATACTGAGGTTGGCCATTTGTAGTCTAATTTCCTTTCTTAACTTAAGGTAAATAAGTAAACTAACGAGATGATCGTGATATTTGCGTATGTGTGAGATACCTCTCATTAAACTTTTGAATCAAGTTACCAATTTTCACGAACGTTATGCCACTGGCGATCTACAATCGGTAATACTAACACAGCGGACGTACAAACTCGTGGTATAAGAGCTATGGAACATTGTCCAGTAAATTTCTGTACGACATAAAACAACACGACTGTCGTAGGAAATATTTATTTACTTCATGTTTTGATAGCGATATCTAACGGATCATTGGAGCTAGGAATATGAAATTTTGTTTTAAGGTACGTTATATAAATCCTAAAAAATTACGTTTTTTTATAACTTCACAACTAAGAGCTTAATGCAGACATCAATCACCTCTGAAACGCCTATGAACTTATATCAGACCACGCGACGTAACAACCCAGAAGAGAACCATCTACAATTCCAAGTCTGAGCAGTTTAGCCATATAAGAGACTACATTCATTCCGCACCTGCAGAGCAGGTCAACCCGAGAAACACTCATTTTCACGTAAAAGTAGGACACGACCTACGTCATCAAGTTATTACGCGCCGGTAAGTTTCTGAAAACGGAATGCAAACCAATTATCATAGCGGGACTTTTACGTAATTCATCATGGAACACTGTTGGTCAATCCACAGTCACACCCAACTTAATCGAGCAGATTGGCGCAGCGGCAGAGCGCCTGTCTCATACGCTTCTCGGAGTCACTAATTTGGCATATTATAGGACGTCTACTAGTCGTATTAATATGCAAAAGGACTTAGGACTTATCCTAAAACGAGCCACACCAATAGCGAGTGCGTTTAATGTTAAACTATGACATTGACTCCTGTATAACACTACAGCAGAAAAATGTCAGAAAGATGCAGGAGTCTGCAAGGAACAGCAAGGAGCCCACCGTCATGATTATATCTGGAGTCCAAATTTCTCCAGACGTACAGTGCCAGGGGCAGTGAACTCAATACGAGATATGTGCACTATCATTCCATTGCTGCGAGTCTATTTATAGGATTCTATTCTTCACACATTAATACTTTTCGACTGCTTGCTTGTACACACATATAGTGTGTCCCAAAAATGTGTATACACACAACCATTACATACGCCAGCATTGTGTATACATCTTTTTTTTGGATATTCTATAGAATTTATTT